AAAAGGGAGGGAAGCTTGTGGAACGAGTTGATCCCAAGGTTTAGTAGAAGCTAGGGGAAGATGAGCCCCAGAAGGATGGTGGGGGGGTGGATAGGAAGAGAGGTACTTAAAATTAATTCATATATTTTAGTACCTGGAACCATGTTGTAGATTAAAGAGAGAATATTTTGGCCTGAAAAAAATATTTTGGTGTTAATTTTTCAGTTTGCATGAGATTTTACTTAAAAATTAATGTGATACCAAGTAAATTAATTTTAAGAAAAATAAATTTATGTTGACTGTGTATACATATTTAATTATATACTCTGTTGAGAATGTGGTTTATCATTTTTAAACCAAAACGCCTTTGAAGCATACAAACAAAATGAATATACCTTAAAACACCTTGAAAGTAAACTAAAACCAAAAATGGTATTCAACAAATAGGATTTTACCCAACCAGCTTAGATGTCATTTTGTATAGGTAATAAGTGGCCTAAAGAAAGGGTTAAGTTTACCATATAGATTTGAGGTAGGATCTTTTCCCTTTTAAGAGCTAAATCACTGAAGAGAGTTAATAAAACACTGTCAATCTAAGAACAGAAATCAGAGAAGACAAGAAAGACAAAGGAAACAGTAACAGATTAGGTTAAGAATAAATAAAATCTAAATAGTACTGAAAATCATCCCATTAGCTATTTTCACTATAGACAGTGATACCCTCTGTTGAAATTAATTTACACCTTAGCAGTTCTCAACTGCACAGTGCCGTATTTACTCTTAGGCTGTTTTGTTGTTCTCCTTTTCCTTGTCACAAGGTTGGGGGCCAGCCTGAACCTGGAAAAGAATCTTGGAGAACACATATTGAGATAATAGGCTTGAGTCTGAAGTGGGAGGGCCAATCCCATCTCCAGAGTCAAATTTTCAGTGAGCTCAAACAGCACATGACAATTCATCAATATAATTAATATTACCCTGCCGTTGTAACTAGAAAGTACTCAGGGAATGATGGGGCAGGAACACAAACAAGCAAAGAGAATCTGAGCATCAGAGAGGGAAATAACTCTGTTCTAGAGAAAAACAGGCTTAGAATCACAATGTAGAAAAAGGAGGACTTAAGACCAGTACAGGCCACATCTTAAGCCTCTCACTCAAGTAGACTTACTTTTTTTTTGTAACTATGTGTTGGTAGCAGCTTTTCTCTTGTAAGTTTGGGCCCTGGAGTACAGCAAATTTCCATGTGCTTCACAGGTCTAGTCATCACAAAATGTCAGCTCCCTTTGTACCTTGATGGCATATGGCTAGGAAAACTTTAAGTTCCCTTTAGAAACTAACAAATATACTATGTAAAGCAGTAAGAATTTAAAATAGTGATTTTTAGAAATTAGTAAATATAAAACGCAAAGCAATCCCCTTTAGAAGCAGGCCCAAACAATGTGAAAAATTAAACTCCCATTGTGGAGATCTGGCATTACTCCCTTAGTCTGAACTAGAAATGGGTTGCTTACCCTGTGACATCATCAATAAACCAAAACAAAAATAAAATGCAAGAGAATTAGGGCATATGATTAAATGCCTGAAGTTTAGGGAAATCTTAGGCACTCCTGATACCAGTAGGTTAGACTTGATATAAAAGAAGAAAGTACCCTCAGATTATTTATACATATATGTATATATATATGCCCCAAATAGAAAATCAAATCAAATGACTCCATGTCGTTCACCAACCATTGTAGTTGCAAAGTTTTCCAGATCTCTCTATTGCTAGATTCAGACTATGCTGGAAAAGAAACTCATGAGGGCAGGAGAAGGAACAGGGTGCATGTCCAGCACATAAATTACTGGGTTGTTGCTCTGAAGGTGTATGTCTCACCCTAGCACTGCCTGTGACTTTCCATGTATACTAAAATTTAACTAGGTCTAGTTAGAAAAGTAGGTGCCTGACCACTAATTGCTTGGTGCCCAACAGGGCCTAAGATCAAAATTTGAGACCCTTTGCCTGAGAAAAAGTTTAGGAGAAAAAAATGGCTTTTTAAAATCTTTTTCTGTTTGTCCATGGGGCAAACCACCTGAAATTCTTTAAATGGTCCACTGAAGCCACCCAGTTAGTTTAGCCTAAGCCCGAATGCCCCAAGGCACAATAGCAAAATGGATAAGGAAGTTCACCTGATCATTTAAGAAATAAGTTATTAGAATGTTTGGAGTCCTATCTGGGTTGAAGTGGGGAGAAAGGGTCCCCTAAAGGGTTTTTAGTCTCATTCATAACAGAATTCAAGAATGGACCTAACCAGAAACTTTTACCATTTTATTAGAATCTTAAAGAAAAAATCCCCAGGGCAGGCAGGCTGGCAATCTTGGCAGCTGCCTTGAGGGGGTGAATAGTGGGAAGGAAAGAAAGCCATGGAGTCATGCAGGTTTAGGAGCTTGTGTGGGAGATCGGACATGTGGGGGGCTGGCAGGCACATGGCGGGAGTAGAAAGCTTTAGAGAAAATTAAAGAAGCACAAAGTGCTGGGAAACCTAAAGCATTAATGAAAGCAGGTTTAAAAGGGGATATAAAGAAGACATTTTTCTCTGACAAATTTAGAAAAGCAGGTAGACTTACAGAGACCTAAACATTTACAGCTGGGTTTAGAATTAGAACAAGAGTTAGAGGGAGGAGGAGAGATAGCCCAGAGTAAAGGATGGAAGCAAAGGAGACCTGAAATTGGATTGAACGGTATCAGAAATCATCCCGAGTAAAGTGAGGAAGAAAGGCACGGGAAGAGGACAAAGACAGAAAAACAATGGAAAACAGAGGACCTTCCAGGCGCATGGCAACAGGGAGGGGGAGAGGAGGGGAAAGCAAAGCAAAAATGAAGGTGAGATGCCGGGAAAGGCGAGAGGAAAGAAAAGGAGAGAAGGGGGAGGGAACATAGATTTAAGTGTCGGGGAGGCAGGTCCGCCCCACAGGTGGGCTTAGGTAGGCACAGTAACCATGCCGGACACTCAACGGTCATGGCATGGAGACCAGTGCTGCCCAGTGGACTTCAGTCAGGTCCAGGAGTGACCAAATTCAATCAGAAAGGAGATCAAAAGAAGATGTAGGAGAGCCAGAAAGTAGTGAAATCAGGGCAGAGTGTGCTCCCCTGTGGAAGGCAGTTTAGAGAGAAGAGAGAGGAGAGAGAAAGGAAGGGTGGGAGTGTACCTTAAAGCCAAAACAGTGGTGTTTGTAGAGGCCAGTAAGGCAAGCAGGACCAGTCAGAGGTTTTTACCTGTGAGTTCCAAAAGGTCGGCGGTCCCTTGAGGTCAGAACAGGGGCCAGAGGTCCCTTGAGGTCAGAAACAGGTTTTGGCACCATATGATAGATGAAGTGGGCGGATGAATAGGGTCGATGGGAGAAAACACCAGGACACAGATAAAAACTCCAGCAGGGTAGAATTTATTAGCAAAGGAAACCGCACATGGGACAAGTCCCTCAGGGCAGGGAAAATGTCAGCCCATGGGTCGTGGGCTGGGCTTTTATAGGGGGCTGCAGAAGGTGGGAACATATTTTTAAAAATTAGGCAGGGGGAAGTGGGAGAGCAGGGCTTATCAGAACAAGTTCTTGTTAAAAACCAACCCCCTCCGTCCATCTGTCAAGCAGGATCTGGGTCAAGAGGTATCTGTTTACCCTTCAAGATCATCAAATGGAAAGCTCGCTGCCTTTGGCCAAAAGGCACAGAAAAGTCTGCTTCTCTTGACTTCAAAGACCAGGGTGCTTATCAACTCTGTTCCCGCATTCTCAGGGGCTTGCAAACCTGTGGGGTCCAGCTGCATTAGGGGAAGGAGTTCCTATGGGTCCAAACCCTAACACCATAGACCCTCAAATAATACTGGCCCCCTCCCTGCTCTTGGTTGCCCACCAGAACTTCATGATAAGACCCTATTGCTAAAGACAGTACATACATGAGCTGTAGAATAAACAAGGAGAAATCAACCTGGTGCTGGCTTTAACATCTCATCTCTACTATTTGGGTTTCATAGTGCTAGAAGGTGCTACACAAGCTACCTGAAGAGGAAATTTAGCTGCTATAACAAAATGAACAAAGCAATTCCTCCAGATACCAAAGGGTTTCTCCTCAGAAATAAGCAGAGACTGTGGTGATAAGGTAGAAGGATTTTTTTAAACCCTAGAAACTTAGGTATTGCTTATGATTAACAAATCAGGGCAGAGACTACATGCACACATGCACCCTGAACCATGCATGATAGGTAGAGAGCAGGCGGGAGCGAGCGGCACGGATGGAGGAAGGCACCAAGGCAGAGATGGAATTCTCAGGGGGATACAGATTTATTTCGCATGGGGCACCTTTCCCTCGGGGAAGGGAAAGATATCAGGGAGAGAGGTCAGGGAAGGGAAGGGGAGGGAGGGCAGGGGAGGGGAGGGAAAGCAGGGAAGGGAAGGGGAGGGAGGGCAGGGGAGGGGAGGGAAAGCAGGGAAGGGAAGGGGAGGGAGGGCAGGGGAGGGGAGGGAAAGCAGGGAAGGGAAGGGGAGGGAGGGCAGGGGAGGGGAGGGAAAGCAGGGAAGGGAAGGGGAGGGAAAGCAGGGAAGGGAAGGGAAAGATGTCAGGGAAAGATGTCCGCCCATGGGTTGTGAGCTGGGACTTTACATATGGGAGCTTTAGGGTGTGTTTGGGGGAGAAATCAGGGAGGGGGAAGCAGGTAGGATTAGGGTATGGAAGTATTTACTTTTTCTCTCTTAAGATGAGAGAAAAACAGCTTCTCTTATCTTTGGAGGTCAGAGGAAAGGCAGGCTGCTTCTCAGCAGAGTTTGTTCTTCTTGACCTCAAAGGTTAAGGTGTTTATCAGCTAAGTTCCCTTTTCCAGGCTCCAAAGTCTGTAGGTCCCTGTTGGGGGGGGGGAGCTGCTATTTGGAACCCTAACAATGCGCATGTGTCTCTCAGCCTACAGAACACTCCACATCTGGGATCTCAGCAATCCCTGTGGGAGGCTTATTATCATTGCCATCCCAGTTCTTCAGGGGAGAAAACTGAGGCACAGATCTCACTCACAGACCTAGCTAGGGTCTGGCAACCAGAAAGTCATACAGGCACATTCAGGTCCCAATCCTCTGGCTCCACCATTCTGAAATTTTCCCTTGACAACAACTTTACCCCTTCTTCCTGGGATTAATAACCTACTTTCTTCACATTGGCAAGAGGAAGAATCTTTTATGTCTCAGGCATCTTTCCTCTGCTTGTATTATGGAAATAGAAGAGCAAGTCAGATGTTAAAAGCTTTTGCAATGTGATGGTAAGTAAAAACTCTGGAGCAGGGAAAGCCTGGAGATAGAAATGGGGAAGTGATCGGGAATCTTCTCTTGCCCCCTATGGTTATCCAGGATAGAAGTCCTTGTTTTCTAAAGCTATCACATTCCTGTATAGAAATCTTTGTTTCCTAAGGCTTTCACATTCCTGTACCTTTGCATTTCTATTACCTTTGCTACCCTATGTTATCTTAATTACCATGTATATGCTATGTACCTTTTGCTTGCATTCCTCACATGCGTATAAAAACCCTCCAAAACTTGAACAAGGGGTCGACTCCTTTGATTCATGGTGTCAGTCCCACTAGCATCAAATTAAACTTCCTCTCCTCACCTGACTTTGGCTGTTGGTCTCTGATTTTTCTGTAACACTTGTTCTACAACTTTTTTCTCATGGTTATTCAGATCTAATAAGCATACCCAACCTGGAGGTTTGATAGGTTTTTATCCCTAACACAAGAGTACTGTGTCTTTGCCACATTGACTGGGGTTTGACCTCACAGTCTTTCATTGGCTAGTATAAAAGAATAGGCATGAAGGAAGTAGGGGTGGGGTTTAGCCAAAAAGGAAGAAGGGCTCCATTGCCCTAGGCCATCAGGTTCCAGGACTGCATCAAGGCCTTTTTGTAAACAAAAGTCTTGAGGGGGAGGGGGAGGACAGTTTACAGGGTTTGAAAGAAAAAAAAACTAATATTTAATGTTTCTTATACCACTAAGATTGGCGATCACCAGATTACCTCATGTCTGTCCACTTACCTGTGTCTCTAATAAAAACAATGAGAGCTATGAAAATAGGTAGTACCCATTACCCATCATAGAGACTCCAGCACAGAGTGCAGTACTATACCTTCAGTAGAACTCAGTAAATGTGAATAAAGTGTCATCATGTAGGTATCACCTGACATATACAGAGAGAACACGCATTCCAAAAGCACTATGCTCCTCAAGACACATGACATTTTGTGTTCCTTGATAAAGCATTACTGTATCCTTGCTCTATCTTTGATTCCTTGTCAAAATCCCTTTTAGCAAATTTCATTTCCACTGCCAAAAGGTGGGGATCAGAATAATTCTATGAGGAAAAAAGAGTTTTGGTGGCCTGAAAACTTTCAACCTTAATTAAACAAAGATAAAACATAGTGACAATGATTTTAAATACTTGAGTATTTCCTATATGGTCCCTAAATTTCATTTTCATTTAGGAGAAAAAAGAGCTTATTTCAACTGGACACAAGAAAGAGGTACTGGCCAAGGAGTCTGAAGACCAAGCAGTGACTTCTTCTATAGGGTTAAAGGATTAGCAAAATGACGGGGGAGAGACCGGATGACAGTGAACTCTAACTCTCGGGGTGAATATTCCATAGAACTATCTCCTGCTTATCACCACTGTGTGCTGAAACGGAGTAAATGAACCTCCTGGGGTCCAATGTGTGGCTTATTAGCAAATTATAGCTAATGCTTCCCTCTAGTGGCTTGATTCAATATTACATCAGCACAAAGTCCTTTCTCTGGTTTTTAGTGTTGCTTGTCTGTTTAGCTGAATGGGTAACTAGCCAAACCCAACTCATTAGCAGTACCAGAGCCTAGGATTTGACCCTAAACAGCTGCAGTAAAACTAAGTTTCCAAAGAGCTTCTAAGTAGAAGACTACAGATTTGAACCCAGATTTGTCTGAGCACTAAGCCCACCTAGTCTCCTCTCTGTCTTTATTCCCAGGTGCCTGGTGCTGGAGGCTGCCCCATGTTCCTTACCTACCCTCCACTCTTAGAAAGGCACTGTCCTGGGGCTGGAGAGATGGATCAACGATTAAGAGCACTGGTTGCTCTTGCAGAGGACCCAGGTTCAAATCTCAGCATCCACATAGCAGCTAACAACCATCCATAACTCCAGTTCCAGGAAATCTGATGTCTTCTTCTGACCTCTGTGGACACTACATGATACAGATACACATATATACATGCAGGCAATACACATACCATAAAATAAAAATAATAAATATTTTTAAAAAGAGAGACACTGTCCTAAGTTCTCCTGTCATAACAAATCCCATCAGGAAGTGTGGTATGGCATAAAGATAGGCTTTGGAATCAGTTCCAGAACTTTCCACTCACTGCTTGAATTGCCTTGCCCCAAAGTACATGCTTTCTTTATGGAAAAGCTGTACACATTAAATTAGTCAGGGTCAACCTCATGTATATCAATACATGTAGCTTCCACTGCAACCACTAAGTATGTGATAAAGTTGAGATATTTGCTGGTAATTAATAATCAAGGCTAACCTTGACTGAGGCCAGTGACCCAGGGTTCAAACATCTGAGAATGATTGCCTCTGGTACATTGGAAAAGGCCATGCAACTTAGCCCTAAGTGTTAATGCACATTATGCCCAGTGTAATGGTGTCCCTGACTTTGGTATTTACTACGCAAGGCCACATTATAGCCTTGATAAAAATAGCCCTGACTCTTAGCATCTATTTTAAGGCCCAGAACTGCTGAGAACCTGTCCTTCAGTATTGGAACAGTATCATCCAAGTGAAGTAAAAGCTGGACTCTTAGAGAATTTTGCCCTTTCCAATTCCTAGATCTAGACCAACACAGACAACCATAAACAGATGTTATCCATTGAATCCCATCTGTTTACAGCTGTGTCCCAGACTGCCTGTTTCCTCCAAGGGGCAGGGCCTGCTGTGGAAAATTGACTGCAGAGGGACTTGTTGTGCCATCTTGTGATGGAAGCAGCAAGCCACAATGAATGCATGGCTGTGGACGTGGAGAAAAAGATGGCCCTGGTGTCTCACCTGCATGGACTTGAGAGGGGGCATTTACCGACCTGGGGCAAGACTGTGGGCCCAAGATGCATGGAGAAAAGTTAATGGAGACTTTGGGCGGGCACAGAAGAGATCTGGAATAGTGGGCCAAGCCATGCAGAGCTGGGTGCCAGGTGTGCATTTCTATGTAAGTCCCCTCATTTACCCCCTCCCTACCCAAGGGCATAAACCATAATAAATTCACATGAAAAGATGTCATATGGTTTGTCTTGTCACACAAGAGACCCCGAGAGAACTCTGGTGACAACAGGACAATGGGATAATCTTCATATCATATACTTCCAATATGTAATTGCTTTTGCAATGCTTCTGGTACTCCCCATATACACACACCCATGCATACATCATTCTAGGTCCAAGGCAAGGAAGAGTCATGAGTGATTAAGGTTAGATGGCCAGGTCACAAGAGGAGTACATGGTTCCATGAGCTTGTTTACATTGTAAGCAAGCTAAGATTCACTTTTAGTTACAAGGTTGAGTAAAAGTCATCTGTCCAGAATACGTCCATAATGCAAAGTCCTCCCTACACCCAACTGCTCTTAAAGTTGTGTTTACAGTCCGCATCCTTGAAGGATGACATAATAATGCTTCTCCCAAGACAAAGGGAAGGCATGTCCTCATTTGCTCTACAAGTCACGAGTCTTCCAAGCCTCCCTCTCCAATATGCCCCCCATTGAGTGTGAGAACTCCCCAGCATGCCAGTGGTACTGACCATTCATGAAAAGCAAGATGACAGAATGAACTGCTAGACTTGAGCACATGGGTATTTCTGGTGTCCTTGACAAAATAAATTCATGAAATAGAGAGAAAAGTCTTTGTGGCCATAAATGCAAGAGAAGATGGAAAGGCAGGGAATAGAAATGTTGGATACAAACTTTTTCAATCCCTTTTTCCAGGAAGATAAATGAGACAATGAGAAATTACCTTCATCCTTCTAAGAAACCTATGTAGACTTTCAAGTATATGACCCCATGCCCATTAAGGAACAACTCATGGAGATCCTCTTCATATGTTAGCCTTCCTATAAAGTATTTATTATTTACAGTGGAAAACAATGGCTTTGGCCAAAGCTGTCATGCCCTCTTGTTTGGGTCACAGGCCAGTGTGAGATAGATACAGGGAGGCTAGATGTTACCTGTGGTGGTTTAAATGAGAATGTCCCCCATAGGCTCCAAGTATTTGGACATTTTGTTCCCAGTTGGTGGCACTGTTTTGGGAGATCATGATGGACTGTAATTCTCCTGGAACTGTAAACTCAAATAAACTCTTCTATAAGTTGCTTTGGTCAGTGTTTCTATCACAGCAACAGAAAAGTAACTAAGACATTACATCACCCCTTCATACCTGCAGCTTATAGCCATTCTAATGGGTAGGCCACATTCCACACACAATAAGCTATAGCTCTGCAGGCCTCTTTGTTTGTTGACCCTTAGAGAACATTTTACGTATAGTGTAAAGACTTAGAGTGGAGAATGCTAACAAATTGGTACCGTCAGACACCAAGAAGAGTCATTAAAATTGCTGTGATTAATCTGTAATCCTATCAAGAGGATCTCGAGTTCAGAGCAATTCCATGCTATAGAGTAAGATCCAAAGGAAATCAACAATTAATTGCCTTGACCTTGGAGTGTATGTTAGATGATGTCGTGCCATGCTTATCTGGAATACCCCAGAACAAACGTGGTGTGTATCAACCCCCCTGGTGCTGGAATCACAGAGGATCTTTGATGATCTGGAGCAACCAGACCTGAGAGAAATACATGGACTGGAACCACTCAGAAGCCCCTCTCATCACTTCACCAAAAGGGCACTGAAGTTTTCCTGTGACAAGGCACTTCTCCCAGGTGTTCTACATCATTATGGAATAAGAAAGAAAAATCAAAGTATAATAAACATGGCTTCTAGAATTTTGTATAGAAAGAATCATCCAGGCTGCCTAAGCAAGTGTTCTTGTATCAGGTAAGCCCAGGAGTTAGATAGTGCTCCTAAGCTCACCCAGAACATGGCTGGTAGAGCTGGGACTTAGAGCACTTTGCAGCACGTTTAGTCCACCAGAGGGTGCACTTTGGTCAGACTACCTGCTCACTTATTCATTGTATTACCTTGACCAACTTCTGTACCTTGCTTGTAACTTATCTGTAGTAAAATGAACAAGATTCCTAACCTCCCTCAAGATCAGTATCTTCTATAGAACAGAAATGATAGTAATACCTTCTAACAATGCTGAAATAGTTAAATAACTTGAGATGCAGAACACACTTAGTTCATCATATAAGCACTCAGCATCTTTTGATTATTGTTTCTCAGAAATATTTGAGTCTCTGAAAGATCTTGAAGTTAGTTAAGAAGAATAAAGTGTTGCCAAGATCTTGCTCTAGCTTGCCCTTGCCCAGTGATCTCTACTGAATGAGGCGTGCAGAGCACAGTGTAAAGGAAGTCCAGGTTTACCACAGAGTAATAGCAAATATGTTCTCATTGATCCAAGGTTAAAGGAAGAAAGGTGCAGTGCAAACCTCCTGGGATGTTTAACCAAAGCCCAGTAGCCAGCAGGCCACGGCAGAGAAACCATTAGAGCAGTGTCTGGGTGGTGTTAGCACACCTTAAGAGCTGCAGAAGGGCATTGGGAAGTGGAGGAATGTAAGGAATATAGCTCAGCCAAGAGTAGCCCCCAGCGTCCCTCTGAATTAGGGTCTCCTTACCTGCTACTGTATCTATCTAGAATGGGTTCCTGGGAGACAAATAGAAACTAAGGGAATGTCAACACTGTAGGGCAGAGATGACCTGTTAGTTCTCACTGCCCAGCTCTCAAATCTAAGGTCATTTAGCTCACCAGATATTTACAGGAGTACTGTAAAAGTTGTCTCAAAATTATGTTCCCAAAAGTCATTAGTAATACTGTCTCAGGAATTGCCTTAAGATGAACTTTTTAAGGAATCATTTCTTCTATTGGCAGCTGATCACTGCTAGTGAGGGAGAGTGGATCTTTAAGGGAGAGACTCTAGAGAGGCTGACTGGACCCCACTGGATGAAGCTGCACTGAAGGGGCGTCTAGGTACACAGACTTGACACAGTAGGCCTTAACATATATGACAGAATGAATGAAATCCAGTGGTGAGGGCTTGCGGGAGTAAGAATGGGGGAAGGGCATAAAGATGATTAAGATGTTTTTCATGAAATGTGCAAAAATTCAATAAAAAATACATTGAGGAAAAAATCAGTTATTCTTGCTTCACTTGAAAATAACTGTGAAGTGTTAGAACACAGATTCAACAATTCAAACTTTCCCCATCCTATCAACCAAGATGTGTTCACTCAGTAAGTGTGAAGTTTATTCTGTATCAGATACTATATGGAGAAAGGACAGAAGCCAGGCAGGGTGGTGCACACCTTTAATCTTAGCACTAGGGAGGCAGATCTCTGTGAGTTTCAGGTCAGCCTGGTCTACATTGAGAGTTTCAGGTCAGTCAGGGCTACATAGTGAGAGCTGGTCTCAAAAAAAAAAAAAAAAGAAAAAGACAAAAAGAGAGAGAGAGAGAGAGAGAGAGAGAGAGAGAGAAATGGAGTGTCTGCCACTGCAGTATGCTGTGATCTTAAATTGGAATCTCTAGAAAGGCCTTGAGTCAGAGCAATGTGAAGAAGGTCGTGAGAGAGGTTCCGGGGAGATACATCTACAAGGAAACAAGAGGACAAATTTGAACCAAGAGGGGCTGGAGAGACAGCTCAGCGGTTCGACTCCCAGCACCCACATGGCATCTAACAACCATCTGTAACTCCAGTTCCAGGGGATCTGATGCCCTCTTCTGACCTTCATGGGCACTGCACAACACAAGTGCACTTACATACATGGAAGAAAACACCCATGCACATAAAATTTTAATAATAATAAATAATTACATATTTATATTTTAAAACAAAATTTAAAAAAAAAATTAAACCAAGGGAGAAGGTGATCCACAGGCCGTTGCTACAGCTCACTCTGTGGAGAACGCTGGATTGCAACTGGCTCTTCAGAGTTGTCCTACACTGAGACAAGGGGTTGCACTCTCACATCCTCAGTGAACCACCCCAGTAGGATGTGTATCCTTTATTAGGCTGTTTCCTTCTGGCTGGGGCAATGGATGTAAAGTGGGCCCCATGAGAATTATCCCCAGGTTCCAGGAATTCCTAGAAATCACCCAGGCACTCCAGCCATACCCCTCTTTTTACAGGGCCTGGGGAGCATACATCTCTCAAGAGGCAAACCCTTTCTCCCAGCCTCCCTGAAAATTCAAATGAGGAAGAGAAAACTTTTCCAATTAGCATATCTCTGCAAGCAAATGGGAACTTAGAGACCATCTATTCTCAGGCTTCACTTTTGCTTCACTGAGAGTGTAATTAGACGGATGAACATCTATTGCCTCAATAGCCATCTACCTGTGACCATCAGCAGGTAGAAAAGCAAAGTGCAGCAGCTACACAAGGAAAATACACCTCATTATTTGCTAAGGTTTTAGGTGCAGGCCTCATTGCACATGGGTTACCTGGGCAGCAAGCTGTCAGTTAATTCCACTCAAGTGAGTGTGGTTGATAGACATTCTGCTCCTTAGAGAGGCCCAGTAAAAGGGAAGCTAGCAGATCGTCTGTTTCAACAGTTTTCTGTTTTGCTGAAAACATTCAGTCCTAGTTTACGAGGGAATCAGGGTTCCCTTTTCTGGGCACTTATTCTTCTTTTATAAACAAACTTAAATATTGATTTAGAAGGAAGCTTGTAGACCATTTGATTAGAGTTTGAGAAAGGTATAAAGAAAAAGGTTTCCCCAAAATTCTACATCTTGAACTGAACTTCCTGCAAGGCTGACTGTATTAGTTACTTTGCTGCTGCTGTGATAGAAATACCATGACCAAAAGAACTTATAAAAGGAAAGAGTTTATTTAGCTTATGGTTTCAAAGGGGCAAGAGTCCATCATGGTAGGGAGGCATGGGGGCAGAGATGGCTGGAGTAGGAGCAGAAGCTAAGCATGCAGATCTTCAAGCAAGCACAGTGACATGCTTCCTCCAGCAAGCCCACACCTTCTAAGACCTCCCAAAACAGCACAACCAGCTGGGGACAAATGTTCAAATACTTGAAGCCTTTGGGGCACATTCTCATACAAACTACCACACTGACCAACTGATTGACACTTCAGTGACTGTGGAGAGTTTGGAATATTGCAATCCAGAGCTTTTGTGCATTTTACCTAAAGCCTGGTCAGCCTTAAACAGTCATTCCTTGCCCACCTCTGTTTCTGACTTAACATTCTGCAGCTAACAAAATGTTTTAACTTAACAAAAGAAACAGTTCCCACCAATCAAAAGGCTAAGAATATCATCAGATAGCATCTGAGACCTATAGTAGAAACCACCCCCACTTTGCTATGGCCTGCCTACTGAATGAAGCCACCAATGTATTTGAAAAGTGTCTTGATTTGTGACTTTTCTTTGTACTGTTATTATAAAACTGCCATGAAAATGCTGGAACATAGTATTTGGGGAAACCTAAATCTAAGTTCCTGGGCTGTAGTCACTCATATTTGGCTCCAGAACAAACCATCTCTTTTATTCCTTCCAGGGGTGAGCTGCTTAGTTTGTCAACAGAGCCAACACAGGGCAGGCAAGTTATAGATCTCAGCAGTTGCCAGGAGGAAGGGGATGGAGAAGAAGAAGAAAGGGGAGGTGAGAAGAAAAGAAGAAGAAAGGTAGTCTTTGAAATTAGGGTCCAAGAAAACAAGCATCTTCAGCAATGGAGCCCAGTGGCAGATTGGGGGCAGTATTTTAGCCAAAGGAAGAAATAGAAAGAAGGAAAATAAAGGCTATACTTTTTTAGTTAAAACTCAGAAGAGCAGGCAGGCTCAGCAGTGAAGAACTCTAATCCCCTGCACTAAGGGAGGAGCTTCTGGGGTGTGTAAGTTCATTATCTCATTGAAGGAATAATTATTCCCCCATTTTCTCAGCATCTCTTCAAGTGAATCATTTTTCCCATGGGCAGTCCCCTCACCAGGTGATTGGCAGGCCCAGAAGGATTGACTCTTTTTTTTTTTTTATTTTAGTTCTGTGTATGAGTGTTTTGTCTGCATTTATATAAGTGTACCACAAGAGTGCAATGCCCACAGAGGCTAGAAGAGGGCATCAGATCCCTTGGAACTGCAGTTACAAACAGCTGTTAGCCACCATGTGGGTGCTGGGAAACCAGCCCTGGTCCTCTCCAA